GCTGTGAGAACCGCATCACTTTTTATTCGCATGGGGCCCAGGCAGGAAAGGATCAAAAACCAGTTTGAGAACTTGAGAGTCACCCTGGGGCTCTGTGGTTTGGGAACTGCAGGGTCAACTTGAAGACTCCAGTGTGTCACTATTTCCATTACACATTTTCCAGGGTCCCCACTTGGCTGATAAACTCAGAGTAGATTGCTATGTCCTGGGGGATGGGAGCAAAGGCTCAGAGAGGTAGGATTTTCGGAAAGCTCCCTGTTGGCAATAGGAAGGCCTGTGGGCCCCAGACTGGCTGGATAGGGAGGAAGCTTCTCGTTAAAGCAGCTCTTGATTGCATGTGCTAATGGGGGAGGCAGGTATGAGTAGCACAGCCCTTTTCCCAGAACCCCCAGCAGTTTTAGTTGACCTGTGGGACACATTATACTGTTTCTTTCTGCCACAGGGATGGTGGGTGAGGCAGATTTTTTGTTGTTGTCAAAATTTTTTTTTGAATATGTTAATACAAGTAGTATAAGAAAGAACAGTAGGATGACCCCCAGCAGTGCTTCCTGGAGCCCAGTTAGCAGTTCCTGTGTATTAAGGCAGAATTTTAAATTAAGGTCAATTTACTTGCAAATGAGGGATAGGTGAAGTGTGTGCAGGAGATGGGGGTGGGGGGATGTGTATGGGAGAGGATCCATTCTGTGCTGGCTCAGGAACTACCCTGCATTGGTGAGAGAGGACCCATTCTGTGCTGGCTCAGGAACTACCCTGCGGTGGTGAGAAGCAGTGCAGTAGGTGCAGTCTTTGAATTTCTGGAAATTCTCTCTGCCCAGCTGTTTGTACTTGTTTACTCATATTTCTACGATGGTGTGAGAATGTGATGGTGAAATGTACATGAAGTCCCATTATCACTTGCTATGTTAACTTTCCACTGTAAGCTGGTCTATAGCGGTTAACATTATTGGTTGGATAGCTCAGCCATTTACTTGCTGTGCTATCTGGCTGTTACTTCACCTGAGTCATGGTTTCCTCATCTGTAAAATAGGGATGAGATCCATCTGTTGGGATTGTTGTGAAGATGAAATAAAATATGTGAAGTGCCTAAAACTGGTAGGCTCCAAAGGCATTAGTCCCCTCCCACAGTGTTCTTTGGAGGAAGCCAGGTAATTTGGGTATTCAAAAGCACCCAACACAAGGATCTTGGCAAACCATTTCAAATCCCTGTGCATCCATTCATCATCTGAGACAGGTGTGTCTTAAAACGCAGCTCAAAATTGGTCCTTCACAAGACGTGATCCTAGGATGTCAGCATTACTACATTCGGAAGCAGCCTTCCAATCACTACCATCCACACCCTCTTTAGAAGCTTTTTAAATGTGAGTAGTCTCCCCAGAAAGATTAGTGGTAACAAAGGCAGTTTCCTGGCCCCAGGCCTGTGGCTCTTGGGGCTGTCCTTGGACAAAAACTGCAGGGTCGTTTGAACTTACTGCCTGCTTTTAGGGGAGGGGATGTCTTACCCTCCATACCCCAGGCACCTTCTAGAAGCTGCCTCAGCCTAGTCCTGTTATTTGGAAACTTCCAGCCCCAGCCTGCTCCTGTTACCCCCACTCCTGGCACCTCCAGTCCCTGAGACACTACTATATATGGCCTAATGTTTCCTCTCCTGTGATTCCTCCAGCCCTTCAGCCTGGGTCCTCCCCATTCCAACCCCAATTCAAGCATCTTCTGTTCCTTGTCCAATTCATTCTTCAGCATCTCCTCATTCACAGCACTCCTTTACCTCAAGGCAAAAGAGTTGCTGGCCCTCCTTTCCCTGCCTGGTCCCTCAGCTCCCTTGGGCTATATATAGCATAGCAATGCCTTAATTTGTGTAGCACTTCAAGTTCTGGCCACCCCCTCCCAACACAATAGGGAGAAAAAGCCTGAAGAAGGTTGGAAAAGGACAAGGGTGTGCTGAACTGGGACCACCCGGAACCTGGCAACCTTTTCATCTGTTGTCAGGGACTTTCTACTTCTCCCCCAGCCTGCTACCCGTTTCCTGACACTTGCTCATTCTGGAGGGAAGAGGAGCAGGCCATGTGCAGGGGAATTCTAACAATCATCTTATTTAACTCTTACAATGATCCTATGGGGAGATGCTACCTCCATTTTACAGATGATGGCATAGACTCAAAAGACATTGAGTGGCAAAAGACCAAGTATTCAGAGAGTGGTCATTCAAGCAGCTAACCGATCCCATGTCTGCCTGTGGCCTACGCTCCGGATCCATTAAGTCTGTCTGCATCACTCAATTAGACCCTTCTAAATTAGAATTTCTATGAGTGTGACATGACCTGGAAGGAAAAAAGGTTTACTAAGTAAATTACTAATGTAGAAATGCTTAAATAGAAATAATTATTGAAGACTTGGCATAGTAACAAAAATATTATAATTTATCTTAGCTGTTTACTGAAGCGATAGTCTACAGAAATCTGTTCTTGAAGTTTTAGTGTGTTCTCAAAAGTAAAAAGCAATTTTATCTCTTCTATTTCAAGACTTTCCCTCCAGTTTGCAATCCTTCTCCCATTAGTCCAGAGCAGTGAGATTTGATTTTAGGAAGTTATTAGTCTGGTTCTTTCTTCTGTCACTTACTGTGACCCGGAGCAAGACATTTAACCCAAGCCTGTTTTTCATCTGTGAAATGGGGATAATAGTACCTACCTTACAGAATTATGAGGATTAAATAAAAATAACCTACTTAAAGCAACTAGCACATTTCTTGCCCCATAGGTGCTCAGAAAATCGTATTCTTTTCTCAATTCTGGGCTGAGATGTTATAGGAGCATCAACAGAAGCCCAATAAGGGACAACCTCTCAAGGAAGTTGAACTTCACTCTGCATAGCTTGGACCCTATTGTCCAAAGGGCTTGGAGTTGATCCTGATTCTTGCTCTGTCTCATCCAGGCATTTCATCCCCCTGCCTCTGGCCCAGACCATCCATCTCTTGAGAATTCAGGCCACCGTTGGGACCAGGAGAGGCAGCCTGGGAGAGTGTGTGTGAATGACTGGGAGGAGAGTTCCCATGGACGCTGGGGATACGTGAAGGCCCTGGGGAGCTGCTGTGACCCTGGGTCTTTTCCTAGGGCAGTGAGTGCTGGGGAGAGAAAAGAAAGACTTCAGCTGCTGGACAGATTTCCAGTGCTGAAAAGCCCCTTTCAGATAAGACACATGGGGCTGCGGATCTAGGGAAGGAACAAAGGCCTGGGATGGAGTGGGCCTCTCCATAGTGTACTCCAATCTTTTTCCACTTATCAACAAGAAGGTTCTTGGGCGCCTGGGTGGCTCAGTTGGTTAAGCGGCTGCCTTCGGCTCGGGTCATGGTCCTGGAGTCCCGGGATCGAGTCCCGCATCGGGCTCCTTGCTCAGCGGGGAGTCTGCTTCTCCCTCTGACCCTCTTCCCTCTCGTGCTCTCTCTCATTCTCTCTCTCTCAGATAAATAAATAAAATCTTTAAAAAACAAACAAAAACAAGAAGGTTCTTTCCTCCTCTTCTCTGAATCCAGGGTGCCACAATTGATTAGCTTTCCTAAGCTTCAGCCTGGATGGAGAGGTTCTGCTTGGCCAGCCTATGGGAAGCAGGCTATAAGTACAAACTCTGGAGCCAGTCAGACCTAGATTCAGATCATGACACTGCCATTTACTAGCTGTACACCCCTGGATAAGTCTTTTAGCCTCTCAGAAGCTCAGTTCCCGGTCTATGAACAAACTACTAATTACTGTATAGAACAATTGAAAGGCCTGAAATGTAAATACCTCAAATTAGGTGATAATGCAGGTCAATTGTCATCTCTGTCCTGAATGAGCATGAGTGAGCATCTCACCCCCGTAGGCAGTATAAGGAGCGCTGGAGATGTGAGGAAGTCCTAGTGGTTATAAACTGGATGAATCTCCTTGGTCCAGAAAGCATCCTTGAAAGGATCAAGACCACAATTGGGAATAGGGGCATTTTATTTACATCCCACATTGTTCGTGTTTGAAGCAGTATAGCTTGCGGGAGAACCGAGGATCTCTCTCGTTTCTTGCCTCTGTATTTCCAGCTCAGTTCTCCGTAGCAAGTCCCTGTCTGATCCAGCCCCTTACATCCATGAGAATTAACAGACTGAATCTAGTTAAGGGCTCCCGCCATCTGATCTTTCATTACTTTCCGGTGCTTGGAGCTTCGGCCTGGAACTCAGCAAATGGGGGGTTAAGACTGATGCCCTGGCCTATCTCCTCCCCTCTCCATTCCTGACTTCAAAGTCCCCATTAAAGCTTGCTTCCCTGACCCTACAGTGGCAGCTCCATCATCAGCTCCTGGCCGGTTCAAAACAGCAGATGCTGAGCCCTGGCCGGGCTGCTCGCACTCTACCTTCTTTCGCCATCTCCTAGGGTAAGCACCAGCATGCTGAGAACCCGTGGGGCCGACAGTCCTTGCTCCTCCAGGAGAGAAGAGGCAACTAGGAATAGAGGTCACCTCATGTAGGGAATCTGTCTTATGGTCGGACCTAGAAGGCACAGCGTAGGCAGAAACCCTGGTCGATGGACCAGGACTCTGGGGCTCCGTCTAGTTTGTGATCAGAGCAGATGTTTACTGGGGTTAGCAAGTAGAGCAATAGGGGTCACCTGCCCAGAGAGGGAGGCAGGGGTTCGGCAATGGCAAAGAACCTGGCAAGAGATGGAAATGCGAGCAGTTCAGGGACCAGAATTAGTTCCATTAGTACTAATGTCCAAAATCTATGCTAAATTATTCACAAATCAATGTCCAGTCATTTTAATCTTTGGCTCTGGTGATTCAGTAACCAGAGCTGGGACACTGGGATGGCTCTGGTTCTCTGGGGCCAGATCCTGTTCTGTAGCTCCCTCAGGGAACTGTCACAGATTCAAGGCCAGTGGGGGGCCCAAGCCTCAAGGCCTGTTCCTCCCACCCTCATCTGTGGATTTTTCCAGCTGCTTTTCTTGACCCAAGGATCACACAGGGATACAGATGGAAGTGGGGGGGGAGCAGGGAAAACAATGAAGTCAGAATGAGATGGGGAAGACGCAAACGTTAGGAAGAGATGGGAGAAATGGCACTAGTGGTCCAGTTATCTGAGACAGGACACTTGGGACTTTTCAAGTAGCGGGTGTGTTGGGGCATGGTAAGAGAGGGTCTTAGCAGGCAAGTCCCTCCTTTCTACCCCAGACTGAGGGGAATTGGGAGTTCTTATTGTGAGGTGCCTCTTTCTAGGACTGGGCTGAAGCCTCAGAGCCCCAGCTGATAACCCTGGGGCCAGATCATGTCTGCTAACAAAGGCTGGTGGGTACCACCTGAGGGCGAAGACAGTGTGTCTCAGAGGTTCCTGAGGAAGACCAGGGAGTCTCCGCTGGTGCCTGTAGGTGAGTAGGAAAGTAAGGAAAAAGGGCAAGGAGGGGCCTTCCCTCAGAGAACAGGTCTCCTAGTCTTTTCAAATGAAGCAGAGAACTCAAGTGTCATACCCACTGAGCAGTCACCAGCCAGGAAAGGAGTGAACCAGCAGCAAAGCTGCCAAGGGACGAAGGGACACGCCTGACAATGAAATAAAGGAGTCTGGATGGGTGGAGGTGGTGGCCGAGCGCTTGGGGTGCGGGGAAACATGGGGCATCAACACCTGCGTGAGAAGAGGGAGGAGCAGTTTGGGGTCTCCCAGGGCTTCCTTCAAGGTCTTGGTAGAGTGGGAAAGTAGCTGTGGGAGCCAACAGCGCTTGGAGAAGGGCCTGAGCAGAGCCAATGGGTGTAGGGGGCTCAGGACGGGCTATTTGTACACAGAGGAGGGCTCACTGGAGGGAGGCAGCCACTTTGAAAATGCCACAGAGAGGAAACAACTCAATATTCTGATGATGGTTCCCCCGCCTCCCGCCATGAAGTGGCAGGAAAGTAGGGGTTTATCCAGATGCCCAGGCTACCTAAGTGAGGGGGTCTGTCATCAGGGGAACCATGTAATTGGTGACTGAGGCCCAACAGTCATGTTCTCTGCCTACAGGCTTAGGAGGCTGCCTGGCAGTGGCAGCCTACCGGATTTATCGGCTGAAGGCCCGTGGTTCCACCAAGATGTCCATACACCTAATTCACACCCGACTGGCGGCGCAGGCTTGTGCCGTGGGTGCAGTCATGCTAGGTGAGTGGCTGCCAGGGTCCCAGGAGAATACGAACAGAGCTGATTAGGCAAAATCTGGCTGTGAGTCCTGACAGTTAAGGGATGGTAATTTTAGTCCCTGTTCCCTATAGTAAGCTCCACAGCAAGTCTTGGGTGATGCTCTCAAACCAAGCCATTTTCAGGGTTCCTTGTTTTATCTCCTGTCTCGGGGCCTGTGGGGATGGTGCAGTTGGTGTCGTGAGAGTTTGTTCTAGATGTGAGAAAAATCACACAGCAGAACATATGCTGAACTTCTCTTCCTCTCTGGGTCAAGAGGCAGGCAGCTACGGACTAGCTGTGTGACAGTGGACAAATCCTTCTCTGAGCCTCAGTTTCCCCGTGTCCAACATGCTGATAAGCACCCTGGCTTGCCTACCTCAGAGGTTGCTGTGAGGTTTCTCAGATAGGTAATCTATGTGGAAGGGCTTTGTGAACTGTCAACGGGGTGTTTCCCTAGGCCGTGTGGTCAGGTGCTCATGGCAGCTGGTGAGACCCAGAGCAAAAAGATGAGCAGAGAAGCTGGACTCTCAGGGGAACGGCTGGAGTCAGACTCCTGGGAGAGCCAGAGGATGGGTGCAGGGTTTGGTGTTACGGGATGTTTTCCCTTCTTCCTGCAGGTGCTGTGTACACGATGTTTAGAGATTACATCAAGAGAACAGCACAGGATCCTGGGGAGAAGTAAGACGAGCCTGGGGCCACCACAGCCTCTTCCATCGATCCCTGGTACGTTCCTAATAAAGCAGTTTTGAGGAAAATCAAGTCTCTTCTTCACATGGGGGACAGCAGAGAAAAGGACCAGTAGCGGGTGTGTGTGTGTGTGTGTGTGTGTGTTAGTTTTCGAGAAAGGGCTAGAAATCAGAGTTCTGGCCCCCAGCTCCAGGGCAAGGGAGGTTCTCCAGAGGCAACAGCTTCTGGTTCCAAAAGCCTAACACCTCCAAAGCCAGCCCAGGTCCCACCCAGAAGCAGCAGAGTAGAGAGGCAGGAAGGTGGAGGCAAGAAAGTGGCCTCAATGTTCACGGGAGCACTGAATTGAGAGGCAGGCATCCCTCCCACCACAGGCTGCTGCCCTGGGGACCCAGGCAGGAAGACTGCAGCTGGGAGAAGAGACACAGGGGACAACATATATTCAGAACCGAAGTGCCAGGGCCAGACTGTGCTGGAGGGAAGGGGACGGGGGTGGGGATGAAAGGAACAGAGCAAGGCAGAGGTCAGAATGTTCTGTTCACTTAAAAACCATGTCTAAGGTCAAACTTGTAAAAAAAAAAAAAAAAAAAATTTCCACGTAAATCCTGAAGACAGGGCCCCTTGGGGTTAAACACTTTGTCCCCTTCTCCTTCTCTGAGTCCAAGCTCCACTCTGTTCCCTGGGAATGGAGCCAGGCAGAGGCCACAGAGGAACCAGGAGGCCAAATACTCCTCCCTTGCTGGGACTCTGGGTTGGAGGGTTTGGGGTTGTTAAAAATGGCCACAGCAGCTCTCAGACGCTCTCTGACAACATGGAGTCCGGGTCACACCAGGTCCCAGCTTCAAGTCCAGGATACAGCCCGCTGCAGGGAGCAGGGCTGCCAGGAGTCCCAGCACTCACATGGGGTAATTGAGCACAACATCCTGCTTGGCGAGCTCCAGCAACATGGGATCATCGAAGAACTTGCTGATGCTTACGTCCTCACTCAGGCCCTGCAAAGAGTAGGAGCGATGCAGGAAAGAGCCCTATGTGGTGACCAACAGAGCTGAAAGGCCGTCCGAGACCTGTGTTGGAGGGGGAGGCTGATGGGGGTGGAACTTGGGTCCAGCTATTTCAGGAATCGCCACTGGGGAGAAGGTGCTCCCTTGCCAGCCAGACTGGTGGCCCGAGGCTTGTACAGACTGCACCTCTCTGCACTGTGCAGTGAACTGCTCTCAGTCTTTGGGAGAAAGGTCCCAGAGGAAGAAATGAAAAAGAGATCCAACTCCTGCCAAGAGCCCTGGGGACTGAGGGTTGGCCATGGGCCCCAGGGACGCATACCTTCCTGCGACGGGTTTTGATCATGAATTCCCGGGCCAGGTGAGGAGCAGGCTGTGGCTCCAGGGGACGGATGACAATGCTCTTGTCCAGAGGATCGCCGGGTACAATCTGAAAGGTAAAGTGATGGTCTAGGACTCTTCTCTAGGATGTTAGAAATCTCACCTGAGAAGGGGAACAGGGGGACTGGCTTTGAACGGGTGGGAGGGCACACTGGCCAGCCTGCACCATTTTCTCACCTGCCAATGGTGGAAGACAGACAAGGAAAAGGCCTGCCCCTGGGTGTGAGTTCGCAGATCAGTCTCAAAGCCAAAAGAATCAATGGCGGGGATGAAAGCTTTGATGGTGTAGAGAGGGGAGCCTGGGATAGGTGCATCCTGAGTCACATGCCCCCTGTGACAGAAAAAGAAAGGCTGAGTCCTTGTCCTACAGAGACCAAAAGCAAAGAATCTGGCCCCAAATGTACCATCAAGGAAAGAATTACCATCAAGGAAAGAATAACCACAATCATGCTAGAGTGGGCAGAAAAGGCTTGGGGCCCTCAGTGTCATTTCCTGTGGCTGTCAAAGGGGCAGTGACCTCTAGGCAAGAGTGGAAACGCTGACGAGACAAGGTCCTATAGACACTCCCCCCACTGACACATTTCAGTACTTTCCCCAAGGGCTCTCCAAGGAGAGAGAACCCAAGAAGGAATCTCAAAATTCTTATCTGCAGTGAAGCTGGGGATTGCCTCAAATCTTTCCTACTTCCTTCTGAAAAACCAGCTCAGTTGGTTTTTAGGAGCAGAAACTGTGCAGGAGGCCCATCTCCTTCCCCATGGAAGCCCAATAACTTCTTGCTGTGCTCCTGCTCTCCGCACCCTCCCTAACATGCCCTGCTGGTGGCTCACCTGCGCCTGGCCAGGACAGTGTACACAGCAGAGACACAATCCGCAGGGGCCTGGACCTCCACAAAGTAGTAAGGCTCCATCAGGCGAGGAGTGGCCTGCCATGGGGGCAATAAGAAAGGCTTCCTCAGCTTGGGGAAGGCTGAGGACTGAGGATCCGGGTAAAGAAAAGGCTGGAGGGACTGTAGTCCTGATGCCCGCAAAGGCTGGACCTCCACTTAATGCCCTGGAGCAGGTCAGCCCCACCACTCACCATGAGGAAGGCAGAATAGACGACTCTCCTTGCCGTGGGGATGATCTGGCCCCCGCCCCGGTGCAGGGGCTCTTGGGCAACCACTGCATCGAGGATCTTAAACTTGACATTTCGAATCACTGAAACAGAGATGGGGGAGCTGCTGAGTGAGGAGCAGTTGCGGGGCTAGTCAAGGGCCCAAGGGAAGAGCAGCAAGGAGCCTCTAGCTTGCAAAGGCAGCTGTCTTGAGGCCACAAAAGATATGGCTCACGATCACCCTGCAAATGGGTGTTCTGATAGGATGCCAAGGCCTACAACAGAGAACGGAAGTTAAGCACACATTCTTTGTGTTGGTTTCAGGTCACGCTCAGGCATCGTAAAGCCTTCCTAGATGTTTACGTATTCTTCTTGCAGATATTTAATAATTTTTGAATGTAGAGTAAGTTCTAAGAATTGCACATTTCTTCCCACTAAATCCAATCGTGGTCTATAAACCACTCTGATCCCACCTCCCTCCTGATACCTCTCCTCGAACACATTCCTTCTCGGGACTGAGGAGCAAATGTCAGCCTAGAAATAACTTCATTTCGGATGTCCCGAGCAATAGCACTAGGACAGGGAGGGAGGGGAGGAGAGGACGCTGCCCCAGGACAAGGGATGGTCCCGTGTGCCCCGAGCTGCTTCTCCTGCCAGGGCCCATAGATGAGCCTGGCCCAGCCCACACGCCCAGGCACGAGGACCCTAGAGGGCTGGGCAGGGGAGGCCGAGGCACGGGTGGAACTTACGCTCATCACAGAGGGGCCCCTCCCGGGTTCCCCACTGGAAACCTTGAACGATGCTGTCCTTCACTGAACCAAGAAGAGCCTTGTCTACCTGCACAGAACACAAGGGCACACGTGAGCAGCGACTCTGGCAGCAACCAGAGTTTAGAGGGAGAAGAAGGTAGGTATACTGGTAAGATTCACCAGAAGCCCCAACATACTTTGGGGAAAAGAAGTACACTTTGTAGTTTCTGCCACTCAACGGTGAAGAAGCCCCCCCAGTGGCTCCCGTTAGCTCTGCTGTACCTCAGAGGGCAGGGTATCATCCACCAGGATGTTGGGGCCGGTGGCATCAGGGCCGAAAGCCCAGATGGAGCGTGCAGCCAGCAGGTCCCAATCATACTTGGTCTGGAAGAACTCTCCCAGTTTCTTCCTGCAGGGGAAGGAGGGGACAGTGGAGGTCTCCAGCAGCTCCGCGGTTACTGCCTGCCGGGGCCACAGATCCTGCCTCCCTGGAGGACAGTTCACCTCCCAGGACAGGCGGCACCAGAGACGGGGCCGCCAGGCTGTGGCGCCCCACCTCCTTCCAAGCCCTGGAGCCACGGCCACATTCTCACCTGTTCCAGGTGATCTGGACCACCTCGTTCTCTATGTCCTCGGCGAGGCCCTTCTCAAGAGGCTCGGCAATCATGGTGATCTTGTTCCTAGGCAGACAGGACACGGGTGATGATCAGGGTCAGCAGGACTCAGAGAAAGCGCACTCCCAAGAAAAGGCTGGCAAGGCAGTGACACCGGGAGAAGCCAGACGGGCCAGGGTAGAGCAAAAAGGGTCCGTCTTCTGCCTTCTTCATTCAAATCTACCACTCTTTAAAAAAGTGAGGTCTCAGGGCGCCTGGCTGGCTCCCTCAGTGGAGCATGTGGCTCCTGATCTCAGGGTCGTGAGTTTGAGCCCCATGCTGGGTGTAGAGATTACTTAAAAATAGAATCTTAAAAAAACAAAAACCAGTGGAGCTGCTGCTAGGGCAAGATTTTAAGACGATCATATTATACAGAAAGAAGTGGCAACGCGGACACTCATCCTTGGGGTACTTTTGGTAAAGAATCCCACAGCATCATGTCTACAGGCCTAAGGAATGAGAGTGCTGGGGTAAAACCCCAGCGTCCGAAGACCCCATCCCAAGACTCAGGGGGCCTCTGTTTCCACAGCGCTTGTGATTAGGGTGGAGTGGCGCAGGGAGAAGAGAGTGTCCCCTGTCAGTCCCAGGGTCACTCAGACCCCCAGCTCACTTCTTATTGGGCGTTTCAGCAAAGCACTTGAGGGAAGATGTTTCCACCACTGTCTCACAAAATGTGACAACAGGGTCAGCCACCTGGGAAACAGAATAAATTGTTAGGCAAGGTCTCAATTTGTTGGAAGGACAATCTTCTGCCAAAGGGAATTCTGAGGTCCCCTTGGCACCACCTCTGCAGTAACACCCCGTTCTTAATCAGCATCAGCAACAAGTCCCATAGCGGGCTAAAAGTCCGTACCGGCACTAAGCAGCCTGAGAAAGCTTAGCCAAGGGCGGGGTTTGTGTTCCTCAGCCAAGAGTTAAGTGCAAGTCGAACCTGGGCCTAAATGATAATCCCCCAAGGTCTTCCAACATCTGTTCAGCCAGCCCCCCACCGCTCACTGAACAGCTCCTGTGGCTGTCACAGCGGGCACTAGGGACTGCCTGGCAGGTCCCCGTTCCATTCTGAACCCCTGGCTCTGGGTAACACAGCTCCTCCCTGAGGTTCCCACACGGCCGGCTACCAGGGAACTCAGCATCTTCTAGAGCACCAGTCCTCGGCACATCAGAAGGAGCATCTAAGACAGGTACGTAAGGGCACTCA